TTGCCAGTCAGATTGCCGACTTCTATAACCTTGCCCCTGTGCTAAACCAACAATGCATCAAACCTGCACTAGTAGCTCTGAATCAACACTTATTCCTTGTTGGTCCCTTGTACAGAAACTTCTCCCCTAGTCTATTCTATCCAGAACACAAATATCAGCCTTCGCTATATGAATTATATATTCCAGACATACGTGGTTTATATACAAGCGAATCAGACCACATCATACCATAAAATGAAAAATAACAATCACATAAGATCAAACCAAAAGTGGCTGTGGGATACTGTAACAGATAAATTAGGAATAAGTTAAGAATAGCAAATTATATAACAGTAGCAAATAAGTTAAATGAAAGCTTATGATAAAAGGAATATGAACATTTATACATAATCTAGTTACTTATTTATTTTAACACATAGATATTGATTGGTACAAGGAGGCACCAAATATATATGCGCTACACAAATCTCATTCGATATGTGTGAGGGTTGTGATACTGTACGGGTGCCCAAACCGAAGCAGGTGGGTTTCCTAGGGCGTCAATCCCCGAGCCTTCGACCTGAAGGTCTGATCCACAAGGCAGTGGAGCATCGTAAGGAGATGCAGTCCTATGGAAGCAGGTGACCAACAATTGGCTCATACGCCATTTGTTCCCGCAGGATACTGGAGCCCATGTGCACCATTGGTTTGGAATCCGGTTAAAGCGCCGGACATTCGCTTTTCGTCCTCTCATTTTCGTAAACAACACCCCCGCCACGAGAAGGCAGTGAGTAGGACTTCCCTGGCAGAGGCTATATACGCGTGGCCATGTGAGAGCATTTTGAGAGGGAGAGCGGACTCTCCCTACTCTCGGCCGTACCAGGGCATTTGGGAGCAATCTAGTTACTTAATTATTGTCCAATAAGAATATATGTAATAATAGACCATAACAACTCCTAGCAGTTACCATCCATTTATTCTTCGTTCAGATAGAACAAATCCAAATAAATGTTTTTCCTGGAACTTTTCACCAAGGTGTCGTGACTATATAAATTAGAGTAAAAATTATGAAATCAACTTACAAAAGGAAATTAGTTTATTTACAATAAATAGGTTTAATATGTACGTAGTCTATCTAGTAAACGCATGGACTGAAGTCATGAACGCTTTATTTTATAATCTTACGGGTATATGAATGTTATATTCTTTTAAATTCACTTTTAATTTATGTTAGCATATTTATTTCTTCATTCAAAAACATTCTTAAGAGTCGATAGAATAATATTCAGCTACTAAATCGTTTCGCTTTTTATCATTTACACAATGTCCTGTTTCAAACTCTGATATGACCAATGGAGTCAAACCGTGTCTGTTGTGAAGGAGTTATTCACTGAAGACGATGGTAGACAGGATTTCCTACTAACTATCTCCAACCATTTAACAATATGTATTACTGAATTTGTAATTCAGTTATCTTTGATAAATGAAGGATTAATGTTCATCGATAAATCATTATCTATTGAAAAGTGTTCAACAGAAACATGACAAAGATCTCGTTCAGTTATTAGTTTATCTTAGAATGAGAAGCAGTGATCAGTGGAATTCAACCAGGTCTGTTGTGAGATAGTAACTCACTGAATACAATGATGAACGGTGGCTCTATTTCGTGGATTGGTTGAAGTTAGATATTAACACCGTTGGATGCCGTGGTCTAGAGGCTAAGCGCTCGTGCGTGAGGCCGATAGGTCTTAGGTTCGAATCTCACGGGACAGGATCGTGGATGCGCATTGATGAGGAGTCCCACACTGGAATGAAACGGTCGTCCAGTGCTTACAGGTTTTCCATGGTGGTCTAGCTACAATTGACTCATGAACTCAACTATTAAATTACTATAATATCCACAAAAACCCCTTTCTGAGAATCACATATTCAACTAACAACAATAGTGATATAGTACACCTTTGTTAGTAAATAGATCTTACCACTTGTTTGAATACATAGAACTTAACAATAAAAATCTTCCCATTAATCACTAAGTATAAAATATATATTGAATAAAAAATATCTAAGATCATAATTACGTCATTGCAATCACTTGCTTTTCTCCCCTCAAGAAAATAGAATTTCATACATTGTAACAACATGAGGGAAATATAAAACTATTGATAATGGTTTAACCGAATAGACCATTAAAATCAATGAATATCAATAACATGAAAAAAGTAGACAAATGAAATTTAATGATTATTTACACGTTTAGGTTACTATGAACTATATGCCACACCTAATAACATGAACATTAGTGACGAGACTATAATTTATGGACAAACCAATCAGGTATAAGATAACAGGTCTCAGATTTTGGCGCGAAATTCATTCATCCATTTGGGTAAATAGAGTTTTGGCATTAAAGTTGATGTCAGTTCGTGATGAAAACGTTAAATCTAATTCTTAATCCTAACCATCAACTGCAAATCATAATTCTATTTCCTTACACTGGTTTATAATCCTCATTTAGTCCTGGTTATTAGGTGGACACTCTCAAGGTAACTTCAGCGTCGCTCAAAGGTCGTCCATAAATTATAGTCTCACCAAGTTAGCCATCAGTTGTATCGACAGTACGGTATAATATTGGCATTTCAATTTATTAATTGAATTTTTAGAAATTCCAAATCACTGGATTACGGACCTTGACTGATGTTACATGTCAAAACAGATGACTTATAAACACGTTGTACACTTTCCTAATCAATGAAACATTCATACATTCTATTATAACAGAACGGATATTGTAAAAGTTGGAACTGATCTTTCGAATTATTCTTAATTATAATTTTATTTTATAATTACTGAGTAACTAGATTACTACGTATATACATCCTAGTATTCGTAAACTTTAGACTAACCCATTGGCTTGTATCATGCAACTTACTATTCCTAATTTGTTACCAGTCAGCTATTTACAGCTTTCCCTACTAAGAACTTCTTTTGGATTGTTCATGTATAATTGGTATTCTTCATTTTGTGCTGTGATGCGGTCTTGTATTTCTACATATAAACTATATCTGTTTGGAATATAAACGTAGTAGACTGGCTGCAACTTCTGAACTCAGAAGCTGGGCATAGAAGGGAGCCAACGTATAGTGGATCAATAGGAACCTCGATGTCACTCCAAGGTCAACAGTGCTGCTCAGGCATGTAAGTGGCCAAGTGAGAGACGCTAGACTATAGTGTGAATGGCAGACCAAATTAGAATTGGTGACTGGGCACGTGACATTGGTCTATGGATTTTCACGACATAACACATTCATAGGCTATAATCACATTATTGATTTAGTGACTACGTAGTAAGTTATGTATTGAAAGAATAAATGGTTTTAATACATATTTACAACCTATATTCAACATATTTGATTCCTGGACCACATAAATGCATTTCCAGAGAAAGTGTAACGCTGTTATAAGTACTATAACGTTGACAATCGTCTAGATCAGTGTTATCAGTTAGAACAGTGACAACGGGCAATTTAAAGTTTCTGATGAGATTTCATGTGCATTAAGGTAGCTAACTAATCTCTCAATACAGCTAATAAACATCCAACCACTTCATCCTATTTATTTCGACTGATAATTTAATAAGAGCATTATGACGTTGAGCCTCTCACGAATGAATGTTACTAGAGTTTTCAACAAAATAATCAATAGTTCGGAGAACTTTTGAATGAGCTCGCAATATGCATAGAACTAGAGAAAACCGGTCTTTCACCCAATCTAGATGTATCACAAGAGGCAAATGAATAATAACTAGCTAAATTATTGGTCCACAATAAACAACCGTTCTAGGCATCTCTTTATGGTGATCATTTTTCAAACAGTACTAAGACTGTTGAGGTGAAAAACAGATCAACTCTAACATTCACTCTCACGAAATTATCTTACTTAAGAGGACTTCTGAGCCGATGGATCAAACTAACATTCAGCAAATATTTGGGACTTTATATCCATAATATTCTAGTTTCATGTTTTGAAATGGCCTCTGATTGTTACTGATATAGTCATAAAAAGGTAATTCATTGTAAATAAAGTTTACGTTTTAAGAACCCTTTTCTCTGTTGGGTGGTCGAAAGTAATCGGACAGGAGAAGTTGAACCTAGGTCTCCTGAAAACTGACACTTGTCAGTAAGAAATACCTTCAGTCCTGAGAGAACTGATGCTCCCCGTAGAACTCGAACTCACATCATCTAGCTTTACGGATAAGGAAATTATTACCAGGCTGTTTGGACCGCGATTGATTTCATGTAGATTTGAGATATTGAAAATTGATCGATCTCTGAGTAGTGACCAATGTCGCGTCTGTCCAGTACTTGGTACTGACCGAGTTCTATCGATCAAGTTAAAATGTACCGCTACTGTAAGCGACTTGCCAATGTACACTCTATTAAGATATTAGTTGGTTGGAGGTGGACGGCAAGAAAGACTAAATATAATTTAGATTACTTCAAAATATTTACACAATGAATAAAACATCGAACCCAACATAATTTACTAACAGTGAAAATAATCGATCCATGTTTGTAAATAACTTATCAACCAAAGAGTGAACTTTATCGATACACGTCCGTAAAAATATAAATACTGGAGAAAAGTCGTAGCTTTTTGTGTGAATGTTCGCAGAGACCGAAGGTTATGAGTTGCGTATTGCTAAGTCCTGTACTAGGACGAAACAGTTGCCTAGTGCTACCTGATTTTCAAAGGATATCGAACATGGGTCGGTTAGTTACATTAATAAAGAAAAATTTCTCGGTTGACTGTAAAATAATTTACAGGAATTTCTGTAATAAAAGTGTTTTCCTTATCATTCGATCACTAGTTAGACGTGTACTTTCATAACCGCGACTTTTGCGTTACGACTCGAACTCATATTTCTGCATAAAAAGATGATTTGAAAAACCTTATACCATTAGCCTTGACAGGTAGTTTCAACTCGATCTTAAATGAAATAAGAAGTCAGAAAACTGTTTAATAGGCATTTATGATGTTTAATTTGTTTGGAAGAGGAGAGCAAACAAAAGCAAAAAAGAAGTGTTAACAAAATTTGACAAGTAAACAAATAAGTCAAAAGAAGTTTATGAAATAATCAAGTATGTTATGAAGCAAGTTATAGAAAAATGAAGTGTATTGTTGTTGGGTACTTAGACACACATATTAACCGGTTACTAAGACGGCGTTTATATATATATATATATATATATATATATATATATATATATATATATATATATATATATATATATATATATATATATATAGGTTGAAAGCGCTTTACATTTCCAAGGAAAAATGAAGCGAAGCGAACACTTTCTTATATATAAATACATAAAATATAGCAAACACACCAAATACTCCATGTCACTTATATTTTTATGAAACCATAAACAGTGAATTCAATAATACTGGATAGAAAAACACATATAGATAAGAGAAGGAAAGCAAAGGTTACAGTTCAAGAAGAAAATTAACTGAATAGAACCAGCAATGAATCGATTTACCTGGGCACTTGAGGTTTGAACATGTTTTCAACAAATTTACTACTAAGACAAATGAACCAGTATTATAAGGAAAAAAAGAAAACAAACGAAATATTGCTAAACAAGGTATTAATCGAAAATTACAGCACACCCTTTTTTCTCAGACTGGAAGAATAAGTTGGCGACCTTTGAGTACTATGAAATAGAAAAACAAGGTAAAAAAAGACAGTTATGTTTTAATTAAAGGTATCAATACATAAGAATTAATAAATAACTGTACACACACAATTATTGACTTTTAATCTAATATTTAATGTATAGGTTTAGATGTTGACCAAAATATCTCATCAGATACTCAATTTATAACACAACAACGGTTTTCAGCTATTAGAATTACAAGGAGTGATAAGCCAATCATGATTTTTACAACAAATAAGTGTTTTCTTTTTACATTGATTATTATTACTTGTGACAGATCAATTTATTTTTCTGTTAGTTAAAGTACACACCTTTTTAAATAGAAGTTCATGCTAAAATGTATATCATCCAACCTTTATTGATTTTAGGGTCTCCATATAATCCATACTCCTTGCAATCAATTTAGTCAATCAGTCATAAACAACATAGAACATAGAATATATGCACATCGATTCAAGTCGCAACATCATATCAACAAAGTGAGATGAAACTACCAAGACAAGTGACAGAAGAGTAGAGGTAGTAACAGTATCAGAGATATCAATTTAGATATAACTGAAAATTCTTAATATAGGTATACATCTAAAATATATGTAACATTGTTAGTTCTAATACAAACCTATATTAGGCTAAAAAAGGTAGCCGAGGAATCAGATATGACTGGATACAAAGTATGAAAAGTACAGCGCGTATGAGATAATAGCGTAGTCTACCCACAGTCTATCGCATGAAGTGAAAAGATTTGAGTATGAGTACAGTCCAGTTTTTAGAGACAATCAAATTATTGTTAGTGCAAGTCATTAACTAAATGCAAATTGTTATACTGGACTTTAATCTATATTTGATTGATAACAGAAATATTTGGAACTATGTACTGTGCAAAGGTTGGTGCATGTAGGATTTTTAGTCACACATTTTATTTTACGGTTGACGATGCTATCCAGCTGTATAAATGAAAATAGGTGAAGTAAGACTTGAATTTAACACTAGGTAGTTAAAAGAAAAATGCTTATGTTAATAAGCAACACTACCTCAACTAAACACAATTTGGTTTAAACCTGCAATCCAATGACTGAAAACAGACTACTTGAATCCTAATTTATAGTAACTTGGGTTATCTCGCTGGTGAATATTTCGACTGAAATTTGATCAATCTTAACATACGTGCATCCTGCGAAGATTGCCTCAAGATACCAACTGTCGCAAGTTCATATAGAATAGATGGAGTGACTAGCTGTGAATATGGGGAGATCCAGGTGATGAATCCTAAATACGACGAAACGCGGGTCGTGAATTCGCCTGGTAGCCACATTTCATCTGCTCTATATAAACTTGTGACAACCAGTATATTGATGTGATACGCAACATATGCCGAAACTAATCACAAAATACTTAACAACGAGATAGTTTAAACCATTACAAATTGAATTGAAATTCAGACCCATTCCACAAGTGAGCGGCTATGTGGACTCATTAGCTAAGAGATAACGCGTTAGTATTTGAAGCTAAAGGTACTGGGTTCGAATCTTGGAGTGGATATCAACTCTGAGAAGCAGGTACGTCTGGTTAAGAAGTCCCAAATAGGACAGTGCTCACCCTGGATTCCACCACCAGCCATATTCCATTTATTCTGCATAGACCACTAAGTTTTTAAGTCATGGTTCCGAAAAACCGACAGACAATACGATGTAACTCAACAAGTCCACTAAAATTCGTGTATCAAGCCACAATTCTACGAGCAAAATATGAACCAGACCTCTTACCTCTAGTGACATAAAGGTAGAAGAAATCAATGTATAATAGTGTTTGGACACATCCAGCTACAATAGCTACCAAGTCATAAACATCTTCGACATAATATCGGTATATCCAATTGACCAAATACAAAGCACGATAAGATCCCAATGCGAATAAGTAGTGTGCAGTTATCGTTTCCGCTTCACCTGTACTACTGATCATAAATAATTGAGGCAAAATAGCAACTGATTCCAGATATATAGAAAATGTCCACAGTACCTATCAAGAATATAACATAAGCATTTGAATGTGCATTACACTTCAAAACAAATGTTAAGTACTATTAAACATATCATAGAATTTTCTATATGAAAAAGGTGAAATTTTCGCAGATTATCGTTAACAATGAACAGATAGTTGGAGGAAACGCGTGCACTAAGTAGTAACCGCCATTTTTTCCACCCTATTTCAACATATTAATCTTGTCGACCATGTTTTACGATGTCTTTAGAGCAAATAACCATTAAATAAAAAAATTCGGGTTTTAAATCATATTCACAGAGAATCTATCATGTTCCGGATTTAGAATAGTAAGGAGCTACTATTAATCACTCAATAACTATTAGGTTAAGGTATTAAAAACTTGTTTAACGGCCCTAATAAACCTCGACTCACTTGGCAGAAATTTTACATACACTAACAAACTTCCATTCGGATGGCACATTTACGTCTGACGGTTCACCTAAAAGGATATCTAAAATTTTTGTTAGGAATCATGATTTCGATATAATGAAGTACTAATTAGGGGACATAAGGTGGGGATAATTTCAGATTAGCCTTACACGAATGTAGCCCCAAATATTCCCACATTATAACCGTAGACTGACTGACAGTTTGTACAACATCATCCTTCACAATAACCTAAAGTGCAAATGAGTCAATGTCCATGAATAAAAAGTGGGACGGCAACATCATTTAGTAACAGATTTTCCAACCTTGGAAACTTAATGAGTGATGAAGCCCTAATGTATAACTGTGATTTTTTTTAGAGTTTAGCAGTTAATTGTTATATCAGTAACCTCTTAACAAGTAAGTATACACTTCAAACCCGCACCCTTTCTGTAAGTTGAATAATTGGAATTCTCGTTTGACTGGATATGAAAGTATCCTTCATTTTGACGCATTTCTGTGATCAGACCAAACAACATCCATAAGTAAACCAGTTTTCAAAAATGTTTACGAGAAATATTCTACTTCTGTTAACCTTTATAAACGGTTACCAAGATTACCGTGATGCCATAGACAATTTGAAAAATGAATGCATTTATGGAAAGATAACAACCTACAAGAACAATAGAAAGACTTAATGGATGGCAATTTGTGTCTTGTCTGATTTTAGCAATGCACCAAACATACTAAGTTGCAGGAATAAAAGTCGGAGTGAGGGATAGTACAAATGCAGTCGGTTTACTTGCACTTGACCTGGTTTAGAAAAATACGAGTGCGAACTTTCAAGCAATAAAAAACCGCCAGAATAATGTGACGTATATTATGTGTTTGATAATATTAGTACTGCACCATCACATTGAGAATGAACCATAGTGAATTTGTATGTAACACAGATTTTCCTGTGTTAACGCTTAGATGTTATTGATAAGCATAGAACAGGCGATATTGCTAAATATGCAAAGTATACTTCATAACCTATTTTTTCACTGCGAACAGTATAAACCTACACATCGTAACATAATTATATTTACAATCGGCGTAATTAATGGATAATTTATTTGAAAGATGATGGTGTGACTGACTTGAGGACACCCTCATTAGACTAATTTAATGCATACTTACCTCCAAAAGCTCAAACTTGTGGTTGACAAGACATGCGAGGCCACCAATGGGGATCACAAAGTAGGGAAGACGAAACAGATGATCATTTGTGTCTAAAGTTGCCTTGAACTTAACATAAATAAAGTAAACCGTTAAGTAAGACAACACAATAAATGTAATTTTCATTATCGTGTTGTATGCAGATATGTAGTATACGAACAAGTCAACATATCGGGCAGTAAACACCAACGCAAACATAATTTGAGTTTTTCCTGAGAGGCCTACGAAAATTGAAAGCAGTTAATAGATAACTTACCCTTGCACGAACGAGAGGAATAAATCTTTAATAACAATATTATGAGTGCGGCAAGGTGGGAAATATCCCCTAACAATCTAAAGATATTCATGTTGGTCGAGGGTTAGCCAAGACAGCCAGCAACGAAGAATTTGTATCCGGACCACAAAATTGTTGCACTTTCACTGTTCAATCGACCTTTAGGTGAAAAGGTAAAAAAAACATCGGGAGGCCTACACTAATCTTCTCCGTTTATAGCTCTGTGAGGAATCAGTCATTTTAAATGTACGTAAAGAAATTGATGATGCATGTTTTCCGATAGAGAATTATAGTGATTGGTACCTCAGTGATATAAATAAAAATCTATGTTAACACGTTTTTACCTTGGTCTCTAAACCTTTTAAGAAAATCCTCTTATATTATCCGTCCTTGATGGAAAGGAAATATAAGACATAATAGGAGCCCTTTAGAATACGTTTGGCTAGTGTTAGATCACCATAACCTACAGCAAGACAACGAAAACCGATTAAGGTCATTGACAGTCTCAGTCTCTCGCCTCTTAACCTTTAGCGGCCAATAAATCCATGGCATAGATAGTTTCGTAAGTCTTCGACACTGTTGCTGACTTCATCAGTTCCATTGGACACACCTTATCTGAAGGTCCTCGGTTACTCATCCACGCCAGATTACCATTAGGCATGTCGCGGTATACATCCCTTCCAAAAGCTAATAAGCTTATATCACATACTTCTCGGCATATCAACGGCATCTCAACTATATCTATGAACTTCGCTCTTGACTTCTGTTTTGCGTGGCTTTAGGATACTCGGTTATAAAAGTGTTACAGATGTAGCAGTAAATGAATCCTCGAAATCAATAGCTCTGTATGTCTTTAATATTTGATGCTACGACATTGGTTTTGATGAGCCAACCTAACTGAAGGCGCTTGGTTACGCACCAGCACCAGTTCATGAGTGGGTATGCCGTGGTCCAAATACATGACCACTAGCCAGGTTAGATTGATCACTTCTCGACTTATCGACAGCCTATCAAATGCCTCTCCGGATTTCTTTGCATCTGACATCTGGTTTCACTGGGTTGTAATGTTTCGATCATTAATAGCATTACTGGTCAAGGTGTTGTTAAGATCCGAATACCTGTGGCATCTTTATGATCAACAGCGTTGTCAAGCCCCGAGTATTCGTGACATGTTGACGTCCATTCTAGCATATTAGCTTCACGTTTACAACATTGATAGTTTGCCTGGAGTACGTTTTACGAAAGCTGTCCCATAAACTTAGAGTATTATATTTTGAATACATCGTCAGCCAAGTTATGAAATATTTACTCATTAACCAACATGAGCGTGAAACATGTACCTATGATTGTCAGATGGTTATCTGTGATTCCGAAACTACGGCAAATGGTGATTCATAAGTTTTTTTTAAATTAACAACCTCTGGCAAATTCATCCCATATATTGTTGAGTTGTATAAATCATCGCAACGACTGATCCGCACTAATATAGTCTTGTCAGAATTCGCTTGTAAAGAGCAATTGTCTGCCTGTTCACACTCTTTCTTCTGCACGAAGATCATTGACATTTTCAGACTTACCTCTCAATGATTCTTCTCAGGATTTACTTTGGAAAGTTTATGGATATGTAACTGTTTAGATGCATCAACATTTTCAGATATCTTTCATAAATGTATCGACATTTGTGTGGTATATTTTAGTTTTGTCATGGAGAAAAGTTATGGATCCAATTATTGAAAGGTTTAATTCTGAAATGTGAAATCCATTTGAAGAGTATAAAGTGAATTTTGTCAAGTGCCTAGTGAAGGCAACATACCAATGAGGTTGCATCGGGAATAATATCATAGCTCCAAATTACCGACGTTAGTTATGTTTGGCTTTTATTAGGATCTAGTTCCAACTACAGTCCAAAATTCATAAGTATATCTAAGTGGAAAATATGGACCACTGTTGGTCTATGAGAATTACTGAACCACATGCATATACCAAAAATCAGATATAATGATCCGAAATAATCGAACCTATCTGTCTAATAATCATATATAGACCAGTACTAAAATTGAAAAGATGACTAGAAGCACAATCGAAACTTGGAGTAAACGTGTTTAGGGCCCAATGCCACTACAAAGTCAATCACTCAAAGCTAGGAATAATGATCCTATGAGATTAAAAAAATTAACCACCTTGTTAAGATCTGCATAACTGTCTTTTATAACTAGTGGTGAAATGGACAGTATTCTAGTCACTGACTTAATGTGTCCTTCCTCGCCACACTTTATTCGCGTGGAATGAAAAAATACACATGGATTCCGTAAACAAAGTTTATCATAAAACGAATATTTACTAAAATTGTCCTCAGTTGTGTATACTTATTTATAAGTCTTTATTCAGTTGTTGCATGTTTTCACTCAAATGAGATGATAAGTAACTAAACGGTTATCTGTACGACTTTGAATATGGATTAGTTTAGGAATGAGCATTTTAGCATCCGTATCTGCTCTTTTTCAAATTTGGTTGGTCGATTCCTTTAGTTGATTGATCACGCAGCTGAGCATGAGTTTGATCACTTCATTTACGCTTGGTGGCTTGCTTTTACTTCTTTCCGATCGCAACATGTTTGCTGTTTTGTGGATCTTTGCTCATTCACGGACCTCAGAGTTCGTGAACTTGATATGATTGATATTAGTTCTTTGAGGGTTTCATATAAGAGGAAAATCGATTTATCTGAGAGCGCCAAATTTTTCATCATACTTTTTCCATTCATTTCAATAGATTCGAGGAGATGAGTCAAACTTTTGCTGCCTTTAACATCAAGTTTAATGTCTCATACTCATGTATAAACCAGCACTGGAGTTGAGAAAAATACTGAAATAGCTGCTTAATAAATTGCATTTAGAGTTTAGATTAAGGTCGGAGTTACATTCAAAGGAATTAATTTTGAACTCAAACACCAGACCCATATATCCTAAAAGCAAAGTCTAGCACTAATATAAAAAGAGGTCAGTATCAATTTGTGAGTTGATATTTAAAGGTAACTGGGTGAAAATGACTTATATGACCACTGAGTTAACGGAAAAATTCAGTATACGACGCACTATGTTCACGGGACAAATTGTGACGTGTCTCTCTCCTTTTCAATCAACTCCACTTGGGTTCGAAGATGCCACGAGTATTCGGAGTTTGACAACGCTTTAACTTGTAACACCCTCTAACATGATGCGTACCCAACAAGTGAATTCAAAAGACAGAAGCGAGGAGTTTCGAAGATATATTTGATAGGCTATCAGTATATCGAGGATCGTCTGATCTTATCTGGCTAGCGATTGCAGGGGTTGTTGAGCACGACGTTCCCACTTGTGATCTGGTGCGGATACATGACCGAGGGCCTTCAGCTAGTTGAGCCAATTAAAACTAAAGTGGTCAGCATCCGATGTCGAAAACTTACGGAGCTATTTATTTTGGGGGCTTGTTTACTGCTACAAGTTAGTTAAAATTATCTAAAATAGTTCACGCGCAGATCATATCAACAGCATGTGCTGAGACAATCAAACATTATTGCCAATAAAGTTAAGTTATCGGAATGGGACAGCCCATCTGGGATCAGGCTGCATGTTTCGTCTGAAATGATAAAAATGCACATGTGTATGATTCTGAAACTTTGCGTTCTCTATTTACCACGCTTTTTATGATGAAGTCAAACTGTGGATATTTTAGTTTTATTAAATCAACAACACGAGAAGTTTACGTTGTGTACATGGTGTTGAAGTGCGCTGCTTGAATGTGGTTCTCTCTCTAGAGTTCTTTTGTCTATTGATTTTTTACTTCTGCACACATGCTAGAGTTGAATTTTTCAAATTAGAAATAAATTACATTTTGTATTATTTTGTATTATTTGTATTATTCATTCAGAAATTTCACTTTTTTAAATCTGATTTATTATAGTGAAATTCCTAACACGTTTGGTATTTTAACATCAAACATTATGCATCACATTACTTCAGTTCTTTTCCGCTGTGTCTGTATGGGGCGTCCTGATTTTTCGAAATGAATAGTTTCTGATGGACTGTTTTCTCCTCTTTGTAGAACGCAATATGTACACTATTACTTTAGTTGCCATGCCATAAATTTGCTCATTATCATCTCTATGTTTTGAAAATACGCGTATTAACCGATTTAAGGCTACCGATGTATGTTTATGCATCGTACATATATGTTGATCATAAATTATGAAATAGAACTTAATCGAATCTCTAATGGGTTTCATGGAAATAACTTTCTATTTGGATTCAATGTTAGTATCACATCGTCTCGATAAGTTGCAACGACTTCTGAACCTTTGTTTCTGGAACAATACGTTAGTTATGTGAGGAAACAAATCAGGACCGATTAGTGTTTTGATCATTTATCATGTATTGAATTCAACTACCCATTTGAAAGATCGCATGTTGGTGACTATAAACACTGTTATCACTGCACGGTTTAGTCTGTTTTCTGTAAACACTCATTAATTTTATATTATATTGTTACTCAAACAAATGATATGGTTTGAGATATGGTAATACTATTTAGATTTTATTGTTTATTCCGACATATTGTGACATTAAGGCTGCAGTAACAAGAGGTTTTAAATTGTAGATAACTGATCGGTTTAATATTAATCTTCAAATTTGTGGTCAAAAGTCAGATGAGTGATATAATGCGTGTTTTTCATATAATTTCTAGAAGCACCACTATATCATCACATTTTTTGATTGGATTTTGGTAGAGCGAACTCACTAGTTTTTCGAGTAAATGGTTGAAATTTGTCGACTTGATCCCTTATGGTTTTGAAATCAGGTATAACTGTTGTTGCAAGGATTATTATTACGAGAATATGAACGAATCATTTTCACAGAAACATGAAATTTTTAAAGCTTTAGTTGAATTAAAGTAAGTTGCACTTAATTTCCTCAATACTGTTATCACAGACTTTCAATTTTCGATACCTTGATTCATGACAAAATATGGAACAGAGTTGCCAACGATATCCTGAAAACTCCATTTTTTGATTCCAGTTTTGATAAACGCAATAATTTTGACACTTGGTCAATGATCAGGCTGTTACCCAGGTTTGCTACTTTATTTATTGTTTTATTTTTATGTAGAGTAT